TGTATACCGGGTGTCGATCTTGAACAAGTCTCCTGACCTGTATGCTAATAAATATCATCCCAAAACCTGGGGAGGTGGCATATCAACATGGAGGACTAGAGCCTGCGGGAGCGACTGTAAAGAGGCAACAGTAACCGTTGCGGCAAACCCGTAAAGCCCAACTCAAAGCCCAAGTAGCTGGCCAAACACAAATCAGCAGGAAAACTGAAAAAACGAAGGCTGAAGGCCTGCTGGCGTGGCGGATCATTAGATCCCGTGCCGAGGCTTCCTGTGCGCCGGGGAGGCCGTGGGACTGGAAGTGTCCATAGAGGCCCCTGCAGGGGGTCTTGGAGGTGTCGAAGGGACCGTCCGGCGCCGTCGTTGAGCAGGGCTAGGCCCGCCCATTGCACCATCTTCAGCTCTTAGATCTTGGGCACGTGGCAACCTCATAGACCCGTTCCAATCGGGTAAGGCAATCGGAGGAATATCCAAAGCAGAGCAAAAAGATGGCAGTTCTTCAGGAACTCGTAGGTTGAAATTATGGCCATTCACTTGAGCAGAAAGGCAGAACGGAAACCGCCATCTATAGGGGATGTTGCGCATGCGGAGAGCATCCAATAGGGGGCGCAGCGCCCGCCTTTGTTGCAGGGTCAGATTGGAGAGGTCCTGATATAGCTGTATCTCTGCCCCCTCATAGGCAAGATGTCTTCTCCCCCTGGCGCATTTGAGGATATCCTCTTTAAGCGGGTAACTTTCAAGACAGCAAATTATGTCCCTGGGAGGGTCTGTGTCTCCCCCCCTAGGGCGGGTCGCCCGGTGTACACGTTCAATAGCAATCATGGTTGAAGGTGGGCGACCTAGAAGGTCATAAAAGATAGCTATTACCGCTTTAGGGACATCACAAGGTTCCACTGATTCAGGAAGGCCCCGAACCCTAATATTGCGTCTGCGTCCACGATTGTCTAGGTCCTCAATATGTCTAGAAAAATCTCGAATGGTCGACACGTGCAGCGCTGATAGTTGTTGTAGATCAGAAATTGCGGCCTGATTCTGCCTAGTATCCAGCTCCACCCGCTCCACCCTTGTGCCCATAGAACGGATGTCATCCCTTAATTCAGTTAGGGCAGAGGTTAATGTGGTGGTTAAGGTGGTCTTTATATCAGCTGCCACAGCCTGGAGGTCCCTTAATGATAGGGAATGTGTAGCACATGAGGAATCCAGCTGTGGCACTGTGTCCAGCACAGCATATTCGGCTGTGCTTGCAGAGCCTGTGTCAGAGACTGCAGAGGGAGGGGGAGAGGGGGATGACGCTGGAGAGGGAGAGGGCTGCGGCCCTGCTTTCTGCTGGGAGCGGAAGAGCTCCTTTATATGCCTCCCCTGTGTGTTCGGGCCCCGCGGGGACCGCGATCTGGCCCCAGAGGGTGCCCTGTCAGACTTCCCCATAGCAGAGGGGAGATGTCTCACCCGTCCGTGCAGAGCGGCAGCAAGGTAAGATCCGGCCGGCGGGAGCTCTGCACCTATGCGGCCATCTCCACTCGCGGCTCGGCCACGCCCCCTCGGGTTTACATTTTAACCACTTGCCTACCGGGCACTTTCATTTCACCCCCTTCCTGCCCGGCCAATTTTCAGTTTTCATCGCTGTCGCACTTTGAACAACAATTGCACGGTCATGCAACACTGTACCCATATGAAATATTTATCATATTTTTGAGACAGATATAGATTTCTTTTGGTGGTATTTAATCACCACTGGGTTTTTTAATTTTTTGATAAACAAACCAAAAACAACTGAAAAGTTTGTGTTATAAAATTTGATAAATGAGTAATTTTTCTCCTTCACTGATGTGCGCTAATGAGGCTGCAGTGATAGGCACTGATAGGAAGCACTGATGGGCACTTACAGTTGGCACTGATGGGCACTGATGAGGAGGCACCGGTAGATGGCACTGATGGGCATTGACAGGCATCACTGGTGGGCATTCACAGACATCACTGATGGGAACTTAAAGGCAGTACTCATATATGGCACTGATAGACGGCACTGATAGGCGGCACTGACTGGAACTGTTAGGCAGCAGTGACGGGCACTGTTAGGCGGCACTGGCAGGCACTGATAGGTGGCACTGACTGGCACTGATTGGAAGCACTCATAGGCGGCACTGTCTGGCACTGATAGGTGGCACTGACTCGCACTGATAGTTGGCACTGAAAGGCAGCTCAGATGGGCACTGATATGTGGCATTGATGTGCACTGGTAGGCACTGATATGTGGCATTGATGTGCACTGACAGGTTGTCATTGATGGACACTGACAGGTGGCACTGATGGGGCTACACTGATCATCAGGGCACTGATCATCAGTGCCCTGATGATCAGTGTAGATGTCCCCTCTGAGGAATGCCGATCACCGCTGGCATCTCTAGAGGAGAGAAATGCCGATAACCGGCATTTCCTTATTTACATGCGATCAGCTGTGATTGGACACACCATTGATCACCGAGCTGCGCGCCCCCGGGGTTAGAGTGGAAGGACGTCATATGATGTCCTCCCAGAACAAGAGAACCGCCTTGCACCCGTCATTTCTTTATATGGTGGGCGGGAGGCTAATAATCATTAATTATTCCATAGTACATGTAACTACAATAAATGGCAGTAAGTAAGCTTATTTATTTTTTGTTTATATAAATATTTGAATGTCCACATCCTGGCCACACTTCTACTTTACATTTGCCAAATAAAACTGTCAAAGTAATAGCCTACATATGCAATGTCTTTATAAAGCTGAATATCTAAAAACAAAAGAAAAAAAAAAACCTTCAAAGTGTCTCTATTTCAGCAGGAGGATCCAGTGTTTCAAACCTCTTTAAAGCTGGGCTGATTAAACTGGAAACATGGTGAACAATTATGTGGGGTGTGAAAAGATGGTGGTTTTGAAATTCCTCCCATTTTAAATTTTAAAGCATTGCAATGTATGTAGGAATTTCTACCATTTGCATTTATATTATATCAAACATTATTCCTAGCAATGATAAAGATTCAGACACATGCACAATACCACACTTGCAAAAAGGCAAACATCAGCATCAGCTGCAGAAAACAACTTTCTCTGTAAGGTAATACCACATTTATTTCCATAAAGTGCTCTGAGTTTGGCATATAATTTAAATGTCAATGAATCAGTATGCAGACCAATTGCTGGGTGGGGATCAAGCCGCATTCCTTGATATTTATAGCTGTTGACGGAACTAAATTAGTATGTGACTTTTTCAATGAAATTCCTTTCAGTGTGTTTGAAATGTTAGCTGTTTGCCACTAACTTCTAGGAGCAAGGCAATTTCTTTACTCTGATTTCTAAAGTTGGCTTGCAGCTTTGAATGTTTGACCTAATAATAATTATATGTTACAATTATGAATAGAAATCACATATTAAATGCTTCGGTAAAGTGGCTGCTAGACAGAGAGATAGGTCTGTAAATAGATTGCAAAGGTTTCAGGTAGTATTAAAGCTGAACTTCCGGTACATATATCAAAAACACAAATTAATTCAGCTGCGTATTGATTAAACATCGTTAAAAGTTTTTTTTGTACTGACAAGCGTAACTGAATTAGTCCTTAAATCAGCTTTTTGTAATTCCCTGCATATCAGGATATAGATTAAGAAAAAAAATGAAGTGCAAGTTCCAGGGGGCAGTTATACTTTGAATATTGTCATCACTCTAACACAGGGAACATGCTGACAGGAAGGGGGAGTAGAGTGGGCAAAATTATACTGCTATCCCTTCATTGGCCATTCAGAAGGTCAGGGTGTGTTCTGAACCAAGATGTACTGCTGATGCAGTGGAGGTCAGAGCTGAGCAGGATAAACTTTTTTGTGGCTATTGAGGCAGCTAAACAGGCAGTTGTATATATTTTCAGTTGTCTGTTTAGCTGGTAGCCTGGAGTTCAGCTTTAATTTACAGTCTTGTTATGTTTGTCTTCTGGAACATTTTATATTCTGCATTTAAATAAAGTTTGTTTAGTTTACTCCCACCTTATTGCCCGACCCTACGTGATTGACTGATCTATTTGAGCGGATGGAGACTGCGGGAATTGCATGGTGATATTTATACTCATCCTGGAATATGTTTTGAGGGTTGCAGCATATTTCTTTTACATGTGTGATTTGTTATGTTTTTCTAGTTTATACAATTTTTACCAAACTGTAATATACTGTACATGATTATTTTCAAAGGAGTGATTTTAAAACTAGTTCCAGTCTTTAATATAAAAATCTTTCTATGTGTTGGTGGGTCATCTCATTTGAACAATACGATGACAGGAAAATTAAAATTATTCCTATAGGGAGCTTAATTAATTCTAGCCTCCCTTAGGTTATGTGTGAACATGGCCTAATACAAGCTTAGATGTTAATGACCTAACAATGGGGGTTTAATGGAATGCTATTTGTAGACTCCCCTTCAGCACAAATTTAAAAAAATATGACATTCAAAACACTTTATTTTGGCACATGCAACTACATCAGACATTAACATTTGGCATCGAAAGTATGAATATATATTCCAACCTTATAAAAAAACAATACTACATTTATTTTAAAACAGACACTAAATTACCATTCACTGTCTGTTAACATCTTTTTTTTTTTTAAGTAATTTGTTATTTTCCTATCCTTTAAGTTAATCGTTTTAGAATTTTACAATCAACTTGCAAAAATGTGCCTGTTTCAGAAAGTTGGGGATGTGTGCAGGAGAGGAGTGTAGAGGGTATGATGCTAGGTATTTCGTGCAGGAATAAAGTGCTAGAGAGTACGAAAGGTAGGTGTGTGCAAGAGATGCAGATTACATTATATGACGATGGGCAGTCTGTATATGATGGGATATCGCCGATCTCAGCATTCTGACAGCTCCACATTTCGTCTAAAGGACTTTGCTAAGGAATCCCTTGACAAATTTCTTTGGACAAAACCCATCATCGAGAGCTTGAGTACTCCCCAACCATCCACATGGCCCAGATTCCTGCTGAAGAGTTTTGTTGGGAGACACTGGGTCAGCTGTCATGCTGGTGAAAGAATCTGAGCAGCTCTGGGGAATAGAAACAGGCAGCAGCAGGTGGATGTGTTTTTTGTGCTTTTCAGCAGCAATCCATGGTTTTAAACATAAAAGTGGTTTTAAATGGTAATACCTTATCTAGAGCCTTTTATCTTTTTTCTTATCAAACTACTGAGACAGGCAACCATCTGTGGAGATAACGGGCCTGAGCAGAATCTTTTAATGTAAAAAATGCTTGAGATTTTTTCTAAAACAAAGGTCATTCACCTCTGGTGAGTTATATATGAAAACTCTGCTGTGGGGGAACACCTATTCCTTTGAAATGATCTTCAATTTGTATGGACAAAAAATGGATACTATCGGCTTGAAAAATACTTTTGATTATTTGTATTTTTTTGTCATAAAGATGTTTGCAACATTATTTGTGATTTTTATCACAAAGTACTGTATAGGTGTTTTTTTTCATCGAATTGGACTTGGTTTAAACAGGTTGCACTTAACTGTTTGTAGTGATGCAGTAAACATGTACCCGTATTTCTAGTTTCTGTTGATTCTGAAAGCTTGCACTTTTTTATAGCACAAAAAAAAATGCATATATAAATTATTATATCAATAATTATTAGAGACTATGTATAGGCCATGGTTTGAAATGCGTAGACATAAAGTATGTAAGGAAGCCCAAGACCAGTAGCTCATCCTGTTTATTTGGGCACATCATTTTTGTTACCCATCATACACGTTCTTTCTAAGAAAAGCTGTTTAATATGATACAATCGTTCAGGAAAACAATAGTGTCTATAGATTTGTTGCAGGATATGTACAAGAAAATAATTGAAAAGTGTGTTCACTAATCCAAAAAATGACAGTTATGGTATTTAGTTAATTCATGATTTTCCCTATTATTTCCCTTGCCTTGAATCATAAAACATTGCTTTAAAGTGGTTGTGAACCTCAGACATGAAATATGAACAAAACATATCCCTCTATAGTGTATACCCATCTCTATTAAGAGCACTAAGCAAGGGCTGACTAACAACTCATGGGGCCCCCCGGGCAATAGGGGATCATGGGGCCCCCACGTCCTTGCCCACACTCACAGCACACCCAAAAAAGCCTATAAAAGGTACCAGGGGCATTTTATGGGCCCTCCTACTGATTCTGGGCCCTCGGGCAGTGCTTGAATGGTCAGTCCGCCCCTGGCACTAAGTGTAATTTTTGTCTGCAGCTTTGTTCCTCTTTATCAGCATCAAACACTTCTGACATTTTCCTGACACCAAAAAAAGGGGGACAGGGGAGGGACCACCAGCAGATTGACAACCTCAGCTCTGTCCTGTGAGCTGTGTGGAAGGGGGTGTGTCCCTTCTATCCAATTAGCTCTCAGGACTCTCCTCACTGAGCTCTGCAGTGTGTAACTTCAGCTCTCCACCATCTGTTTTCTGAACTTTCAGACAAATTTTAAAAATTCAGCACTTTGACTGGATTTAGAGAAGAGAAGACTGCAGATTAACAGGTGCAACTTATGTAGGAAGATTTGTTTCATCTCTGTGTATCACCTGAGGCCAGTCACTTCACTAGGTATACTGTATGTATATTGGGTATACTGTAATTCTCTTTAAAATGGTTATAAACCCTTCCATATATCCAGTGAAGTGAGTAGCGTCCGGTGATACACAAAGATTAAACAAATCCTCTTGCATAAGTTGTGACTTTGTATCTGCAGTCATCTCTTCTCTACATCCATTTAAAGTTCATAATTTATAAAGCTTGTCTGAACTGTCAGAAAACAGGGGTTGGAGAGATGAATGTAAACACTGCAGAGCTCAGTAAGCAGAGGTCTGAGAGATAATTGAAGGGAATGGATACATCCCCTTCCGCACAGCTCACAGGAGAAAAATGCTGAGGCTGTCAATCTACTGGAGGTCCCTCCCTGTCACCTTTTTTCTCTTGGCATCAGGAAAACTTGACAGAAGCGACTCGTGAAGATATCAGAGGAACTGGGCAGCAGATAGAAATGATAAACCTCGCTAGATAGAGGCAAGTACACACTATAGAGTTTTACAACCTGCTTTAATTAAATGGGACCAGATTCCTGAGAGCTCCTCACGGGTATTGAGCTTTGTTACCAAGGCAAGTTTCAATCTGATTACTGACTATAATGTCTTCTGAGCCTTTTTTACTGACACTTTATAACATCAGACTTTGTGTATGGCAAAAATGAAAGGTTGTTACATTGGGGTATTTTTGTAAATGCTTATAAATATGTAAGGAAAAGGTGTTTCCAGATAATTATGTTACCAAAAAAAGGGTGGTGACCTGGTGTGCTAAGGCTATGCCTAGGTGACAAGTTGATGAGCAGGTAGGCTGCGCTCTTTTTAAGCTTTTTGAAACAGTATAATTTTTAATTTTGGCTTATGTTTTATATGGTACCCTATCTATTCACATAAAATATGAACCTACTGACAGAAATCGTAAAAAGC